AGGCCGCCGCAGGAGACTTGGTTTGGGGGGCCCATTGGGGGGCGCCAGCGACCGTCTCGTACCCGCCCGGGGAAGGGGATGCGGACAGGCTGACCACACACGGGACAGAGCAGCTAGCAGGTGCTGGTGGCCAGTGTGGAGTGAGACCCGCTGATTTCTTTTTAACGGCACTGAGTTTTGCAAAAGAAAGGGAAAAAATTCCCCCAAAATGCTTGGTTTAAAAATGGCAAAGGAAAGGAATGGTCATTGTTGCTCCAGAAAAGACCAGAGAGAAAACCGGCTTCTGGGATTGGGCTCTGGGTCTGAGCGGCCGGTCGGGCTGTGGGTGCAGGTCCCTTAAAACACCAAACACCCTGTGCACCCGGCCGCCCGAGGGCCTAGTAAAGGACCGGTCCCTGGACCCTCGCGGTGCAGGGGTGGGCTCTCTGGGAGGAAGGCTGGGTGCCGTGATCTGGGGGTGCTCGTGGGGATGAGGCGGAAGAGGGGGTGTTTCAGGGCAGCGGGGGTGGTGGGCTGGTCTTCCATCCTGACGGCCCTTCCTGCTGCCCCCGGGCGACCGGTCACCAACGTGAGCCCATTTACACCGTCCCCAGCTCGGGACATTGTGAATATTTTTGTTTTTCGCTTTTGTTGCTGATGCTGGTTAAATTTTCATTTTTATCATACGTTTCCTTTTCTCTGTTGAATTTACATTTCATGTCCTCATTTGTAGTGTTTACAGCTCAGTAGGCTTGCACCGTATATAAGAGGTTAAAGTGGCATCACGTCGGGGCCTGGAACAGATTAATTCAGTTGATTTCTAATGGGAAAAAATTGCTCGGTTTTCGAACAGCCTTCTGGAACTAATTACGTTGGAGAAACGAGGTTCCACTGCGCACACTCATTGTTTAGTACAACTTAGAATTGGGGGACCTTGAAATTGAGAAGCATCTGGTTGACCTGCAGTTTGGCCTGAGACCAGGCGTTTGAATTCATAGTTCCTATTATTTCTCATCCGTGTGGGAATTCCTGGGAATGTGCTAATCTCTGTAAACCCATCTTTCAGCCCAGTGTGCCATTATAATGTTTGATGTAACTTCGAGAGTTACTTACAAGAACGTGCCTAACTGGCATCGAGATCTGGTGCGCGTGTGTGAGAACATCCCCATCGTCTTGTGTGGCAACAAAGTGGACATCAAGGACAGGAAAGTGAAGGCAAAGTCCATTGTCTTCCACCGAAAGAAGAACCTTCAGGTGCGGCGCTCGGTTTACGGAATTGTCCCCTTCGGTGAAAGCTCAGTGCCGTCCATTACGGCGCCGCGTAACGTGTGGATCGAAAGGGTTTGGCTTTAAACGTCTCCGAGAATAACTGAATCTGACTTCTCTTTTTCACAGTACTACGACATTTCCGCCAAAAGTAACTACAACTTCGAAAAGCCTTTCCTCTGGCTTGCTAGGAAACTCATCGGCGACCCCAACTTGGAGTTCGTCGCCATGCCTGCTCTCGCCCCTCCGGAGGTGGTCATGGACTGTGCTGGCAGCACAGTATGAGCACGATCTAGAGGTGAGTGTCCTTCCCGGGGACGCTGGGAGCCCGCGCCTGCTGCTACGTCTGCAGCGTGACACGCCCGTCTCTCTGTCCAGGTTGCTCAGACCACTGCGCTCCCAGACGAGGACGACGACCTGTGAGCGGGAAGCTGGAGCCAGCGTCAGAAGTCTAGTTTTATAGGCAACTGTCCTGTGATGTCGGTGGTGCTGCGTGTTTGCCACTTTATTATAGAGCTAAGCAACGAGAACCTGTGCTTGACCCCGGGATGCTGAGATGAATGGGCTTCGAGTGAATGTGGCAGTTAAAATACCTTCACTTTTTGGACCTGCATATTTAGCTGTTTGGAACGCAGTTGTTTCCGTATTGAGTTTCAACTATAAGAATGCTGCAGTCGCATCACAATACTCAGTGGTGAAACCTTGTTTGTTACTGTCATTCCCATTCCTTTTCGTTTAGAATCAGAATAAAGTTGTATTTCAAATATCTAAGCAAGTGAGCTTATCCCTTGTTTAATGAGCCTTTGAAAACCGCTAACAAGACTGTGCTGCTGCTGTTTAGAATGCCTTTACTACTGTCACTTAATTGGGAGTCTGTTACCTTCAGTTTTACCAGTCTTATTTTTTGTACATTTGGGTCATTTCACACAAATGTTATGACAGGTCAGTATTTATTTGGTAAGTTGTTAAGAGCTGTAAATATTGCCAATGCAGTTAAGCTAAAGTAGCACCTCTCCCGCCCCCTCCGCCCCCCGCCTTCCGGCCCGCGGTGTCACCTGGGAAGTGCTCGTCCAGGATTTAGCAGCCGCCAGAGCAGGTGGTGCGTGCGACCGGCACTTGAAGAACCATGGGTGCTTCTATTTGATGGCAAAGGTCGCCATGTGGTAGCACAGAGCTGTTGGGGGGCGGGGGGGCGGGATGTGCAAGTGACAGCAGGGCTGGTGGGAAGCCGCCTGTTCGGATGAATGTAAAGGCCACGTTCACCTGCCTTTTGCTCTGGCGTTAATGTCGACGTGGAGCTGAGTTCCAGGAGGGGTTCCGTGTCTGCCCACTGCTTTCCAGTGACTCCCAAGCTTGGAAGATGCCAAACCAGGGATGTCAGTCGGACACACCACAGCTTTCATGCTTCCGTTTTGTGAGTTGGTGCAAGGATGTGGACGACCAGCCAGCAGGCCGCTCGCTACGGGGAGAAGTAGGTCTTGCTCCTCGGTGTCTTGTACGGTTTCCACAGTGAGAATGAACGGCTCCGCCTTGCCTGGCGTCCTGGGGGCACCGCCCTGTAGAATTGGGGGTCTTAATGGACGAGCTGCCTCGCTCATGTAAGTAGGTGCGGCTACAGTTTTACCAAAGCTCTTGAGTGGCCCAGTTTCCCTTATAAAGAATCACGTAAATATGCAGAAAAGTAAGATTCAAAGGGTAGATTGATTAAGTTCCACTTACGATAGAATAAACATGAACATGTTTGCATTGCTGCTGTGTGCTGAGCTATGTTCAATTCAGACCCAGGGTGGGAGGCTCCCAGAGTCAGGGCGAGCCCTTGCAGGTGCTTTCCTGTGGGGTGCGCGCGTGTGCAGGACTGAGTGGTGGGTCCTCCATCTTGAATGTCCCCGCGTGGCTGCGTCTCAGAAGCTGCTTGTTTGCCGGGGGTGGGAGAGCATTCACGTCGTCGTCGTCGTCGTCGTCGTCGTCGTCGTCGGGAGGAAATACGCGGCAGAACGCACGGCCTCCCCTGGGCTTGGGCTCCCCGAGTCGCCGGTATCTGAAACGCTGAGTAGCACAGGTCGTCCTGTGGGGAGCGGATTTCTGTCCGGGTTATGCCAGGGGCGGGGGCCTGTTTTCTGCAGGTCGGTGTCTGAGGGGCGTCACGGTGAGCCTGTGACCTGTGGGAGGGACCAGCCCTGGGTCTAGGTCGCTGGCAGCACCGGTTTGCTGCCTGGGAGGCGAGCCTTCTTTCCATTTGCTGACTGTCCCACCTAAAGCGAGCGTTAACGACGGGGGGCGGTGGGGGGCTGTCGGGCGGGGGAAGCGGTTTTGAGAGCGGCTCTCGTGTGTGGCCGGGGCTGTTTAAACCCCGACAGACTGGTTCTCAACCTCAGAGCACTGGGTTCTCAGAAATGAGCACCGATTTCCTGGCTGATGGCGGGTGGGGACCTGAAGTGACTCCATTCTTGAGGATTTGCTGTTTCTGTGGTGACACGACTGTCTCAGGAAATCACGTGCTGAGCAGATGCTGGCGGCACTGGTTCGACGCGTGCAGGTGGGACCAGCCGCCTTCCCCAAGGTTCCATGGCCCCGGCGGCCGGCACTGCGGGCGCA